AACAAAAGAGTGGTCCTCTGTACATTGGATTGACGATGACGTTAGTCGCGTTTCCCTGCCTGTTTGCGTGTGTTCATGGAGGTCACCCGCACTCTTCTGCAGTGGACACAGAGAGACTGGCAACCGCTCGCACCCTGACAGGATAAGCGAAGTAGGGCACAGGGCACCGTTTAGGCGCCTCGCAATATTCTGTAAAGAAAAAAAAAAGTTGCTTGTTCTCTTTCCATCAAACGCCGCCTCTTTGCTTTTTGGTTTCTTGGAGCATCTCCATTTCCTCCTCTTCTGCTTTTTCTCTGTGCGTGTACATATACTTTTACCTCTGTCTCTCCCTCTCCCTCCCCCTCTCTCTCAGACACACTCACTCCCTCCTCATCAGTGCTAGAGTCGCTTGAAGACGATACTCTGCGTGTACCAAAAGTTGTCACCGCGGAAAGAAGGTCTAAACACGGCGTCGCTAGGCTTCTTCACACGCGACTTTGGGTCCTCCCTAGGATCAAAGGCGTTATACGGGTCCTCCCAGTAATCCATTGCGGTGGGTTTGTCATCTACGTAGCCCGCAGGCCGCCAGGGCTTGTCTACGACGAAATGCTTGAGTGGTGGAAGCACCGGTTTGGGCATAAACGGTTTGGTCATCACATAACACATGGAGACCCCCGTGACGGGAGATTCATCGAACGTGTAGCCATGACGTCCAACAGGTATGAACGGCGCCGCAGGCATGCGACGACGCCACATATCGCGTTCCTTCTTTGCGTTAATTCGAGGTTGGTCGTAGATGGTGGCAATGTATTCGTTGCCAATCTCGCTCAGGGCCAATCCCGGTGTCCCATAGCTGCCTAGTTTGCCGGGGGAGGTGAGTATTTGGCGCGGCATCGACTTGGGAAAGGGCTGTGGTCCACGGGACATGGGGTTGTCAGGCATGTGTGGGTAGGGCTCCTTCTGAATCAAGCCGTAGTACGAGCCAAGGCCCTCCCCCTTCTGTGGGGGGCCAACGAAGATGAAGCCGGTTGCTGTCATGTTTTTCTTTCGACTCACCATTTCCTCACGCCGGGCCATGGTCTCCGGGTCAGAGCGGCGGTCGCCATTGTACATGTACCTGAACTCCTTGTCAAAGAGCGCGTCGGGGTTGTGGCCGGTCTTTGGGAAGCAGGTGACGAAGTTGACCCCCTGCGCCCGCTCATCCACCGCATGCTTGTATCGGTCACCAAGACCCAAGTAGGACGGTATTGAAAAGACCATTTTCTCTTTGAGGCAACTCGCGTCTACGTGTGTCCAAGATGCCCCCTCCACTCTATTTGAGGAGCCTGCACAAGTCACTGCTACACGGAAGAAGGAATACAAGGTGTCAATTTACGGGCAAAAAGAAGCGTGAAGAATAAATTACGGTAAAAAAAAGAAGAAAAACAACAACAAACAACTCACATGCACAGCTATAGCAGGAGAGAGATGCTGAGTATTCGGTAAATGATTAAATTCCTTCATGCCTCGCGTGGCAGAAATGGTGCGCAACCGAGGCGTGAGGAGGTATTTAAGAACAGCCCTTTCCAATGAAGCCGTAGGCGTACGCTCGTCTGTCGCCGCGACACTAAAGTCACCCCCGCCTTGAGACACAACGCCAAACCAGCAAAAACAAAACAACAGAAGCAACAACAACAACGGGGAGGAGGCAAACGGAAGCTGTGAGACGTGTCGATTGTCACCGGAGTCTAAGCACGTGAATGCCCACCACGGCCTCAGACTGGAGGAAAAAAGGACCCACCCACCCGCTTCCGCAGCTCTCCGATTGGCAATCCTTAAAACTGCCATCCGCGTCCATGTCGGCACGAACCACGGTGAAGCCGGCGCCGGAATCCTCCAGGCAGATTGGGCTCCTCCGAAGCATAACGAAGCCCTCCGACGGCGAGGGACTTGTCTTGGCAAGACGGTAGGAAGAGACACATATGGACGCCGCCCATGTGGCATCAAAAAAGCGTTTCATTGTTTCTTTCTGCCGATGTGACTGGACGACGATGGCGACAGCATCCTCAGCGGAGCTCAAGGCCTGATGAAGCGTGGTGACGAGGGAGTCAATCAAATTCACATCGTAGATGCAGTCTGCGGCTAGAATGAGATTGCACCCCCACTTCTGCAGCCTTTCTCGGTTTCGCTCGTGCTCCGTCCAGTCAAGAATTTCGGCAACATGCGGCGCATCCTCCTCCTCAGTGCGGCAGAAAGAGTCATGCATCGGTTCCCTTGCCGTGATATAGGAATGCAGGTTAAAGAGAATGTTTTCAATCAACTCTGGTTGGTAATCGGTGAGGACACATCCCTTGACCCGCTCCCTGTAGCACATGTGCTGGTGGAGCATAACTGGCGTTAACCCAACACCAGCGCCAAGTTCCAGGATCCGCAAATCACCTTCGCGGGGCAACATAACGGAGGCGGGGCTGGAGAGTTCCGCCAAAAGAAGCTCTACCAATACAAATGCTGCTGGCCAAAGCGCGAGGCCCACATTCGCGAATTGCCCCGCGGCCAAACGAACAGGCAGAAATGTTTTCGGTGTGCCAGGGGAGTATAATATCTTGTAGCACATGCTTGTCTGAGAATCACTGGAGGTGCTCACAGAGAAATCAACATAAGCTTCCATGAGTTGCGAGTCGACGAGGTCCTCGCTTAGCGCCTCCGTCGTGCGCGGCGTGGTTGGCAGAAGTTCCAGCTGTGTGATAAAATGCTTCAGGAACGCACGAATATTCGCCTTGCGGGGTGGGAATTTTTGCACGAGCGGATGCTTGACCAACAATGCAACACATAACTGCTGCGCCTGTGAAGAGTACCACGGCACACCACACACCCGACAGTCGTCTTTGAAGGCATCAAATGTCAGCTGCGGTGAGGCAGACTGCAGGAATAGCAGCAGCGATGCTGGCGGAAGTGGGCCGAGCGTGGTGCGTTGCATCCGAAGCCACTTTTTCTCCACACCCCAACTGTCCCTTCCCCAACCCGGATGAGTGCGTGTCTCCCTTTGTACAAGTGGCAATGGTACAGAGGGCGGTTTTAAGGAAAAATGTGGAACGGTTCAAAGCGCAATGGGCCCCAGCGATGCCAGTGCGATTTTGGAGCAGAGATGAAACGTGAACCCAAGCGGGTACAGTTGTCCAGATTAGCAAGAGGAATGAGGGCAAACGTCCACAAACAGACACATAGAGAGAGAAAAGGAAAGGAACATCTCACCCCCCCCCCCCAAGAAAAAAAAAAGAAGAGAAAAAAAGACAAATGAACTTTGTTTTGTTCTTCACAAGGACGGAATACACAGTGATTGTACAAAAGACATGAGCACTGACTGACGAACCGCCTGAGTGGAATGAGGAAGTTGCGGGAGAAAAAGAGAATAGATTTCACGCTCTCCTCACGGGTTGTGGTCCTCTTCTTTTTGCGCGTGTTTTGTCCCCTTACTTTTCATCTAATACTCTTCACTCAATTCCTCCAGTTCACGTTGCGTCAAGTGGCGTATTGGCACCTCCACATGCACGTAGTTGCGTTCCAACCCCAAGCTGAGGGCCAGGGCGGACCCCATCACTTCCAACGGCCGCCGCAGGTGCCGGTTTTGTCTCCAGCCTCTCCCAAGCCCCTGTTGGGTCGCGACGACACCACTGCTGTGGCGAGCTCTGCGTTTGACCAACGGCAGCTCTGCAACCCGCTCGAGAAACGGCACAATGCGGTGTAGCAGCGCCGAGGGCAGCACAACCGCCCCCGTCGCAACCACCGAAGGCAGATCTTTCAGAGACAGGGATGTGTGAAAGAATGCGTTGTACTCACGCATTAGTTGACGGCCAAGGGGGTTGTGAAGCAAAAACATTGTATTGTACGACTCCCCGTAAAAGATGCAGCAGCGACGCGAACCTGACGCTTGCTGAAAGATGCGCTGACGAATCTGACACAGCAATTGCGTATCAACGCGCATGTCGTGTTCAAGAAAAGCTACCCATTCCTCACTTCCTCCTAATGCTGACGCGGAGGGCATGGCTGCGGCAACGCCACTGGAATTCGTGCCGCCAAGAGAATGGCCAACCATTTGGCTTCTGTATACAGTCATAATTGCGCTGTAAATATGCAAAAATCTCCTACTTGGGACAAATCCAGGCATTTCCCACTCACGCAAAAGACGATTCCGCAGCATATCCGACGGGTACGACTTCACTAACGGTTCCCTTGTGGCGAGAAAGTAAATGCGGTTCCCATTGCTCCTGCCCGCCCCCCTTGCCTTGTGATAGGCCTGAAGACCCTCCACTACTTCCCTCGTCGTTGGCGACAAAGACGATGTGGGAGTTAGAAATGACGAAAGCAGCGAGTTCCATTCAAGGTCCTCATAGAGCTGCTCATACAGCTGCCTGTGAAACACAACAAAGATATTCAACTCCACAGGCCTCTCTCCAGCTGCAGCCTCCACCAAACCGCAGGTGACCGCATCATGTGGCGTGCTATTCACGTCAGGGAAGAGTGTTACCGGCAGTTGTTCCACCTCCCTTTGGTGCATTTCTTCCATACGATAACGGTGCACGCGACTACGTGCCGTACTGCTCGCAGGCGGGAGAATGACGACTAACACAAGGAGAGAAATTGCGGCGAGGATGCACAGCAGTTGCCGCAACAAAGATGCTGCGCGAGGAGACGCCCGCTTGCCATGCCCTACGTTGCGTGCCATCGACCTCAGAAACATTTGGCCACTCAAAGATTATATACATATATATGGTAATATGAATTTACTGGGTAACTAATCTTCCCTTACCGTTTAAACTTAACTTATTTTGCTCGCCACAGGGTTTTCTCTTCGTCAGCTCTGGGTTGACGCTGTTCAGTATCAAGCCCTTTTGTCGCTATCCACACGAATGTGCGCCACTGCAGAGACGACGCCTCTCCTTTCCCCCCGTTAGCACTGCCAGACCCAACACCAGGCCCTGTGTAGCTTTGCTGGGACGGTCTGTGCATCTTCCACAGGAAAAAAAAACCGACAAAAAAAAGAAAAGGAAAGAAGCAAACAAGGCAAGAATAATAAGGGCAACCGGCACTTAGTTGTCCAACGTGTGTGGGTGTACGCCTGGGAAGAGGGACACAAGGAGGAACACGCGACACAGTTTGTTTCTTCTGCCTGCTATGGCTCCATTAATCTCGGGTGTGGGGCGGGTTTGGAGAGTTCACTTCACAATGTCCTGTGACCATTCCACCCCCATATCCTTCTCTTCCGTCTCTTCCCTGCTGAACTTAATCGTTTAACTTGAACGCTGAGGCCGGGAGTGAAGGAAAGCACGTCTTTATCGTCCCCATATATATATATATATATATGTCTCATGCCCGCTCTCCCTTTACTTGCGCGACTTATGCTGCGAGCGGAACTCGCGCAGACGCGCCGTCTCCTTCTTCGCCTTCTTGAGTTGTCGCATGTACTCTTCCTCCTCAACGGCCGACTCGCGTTGCCGCCGCAGACGCGATCGCTTCTTTGCCTCCTCCTTCTTTTGCAGCATCGCGTCTGCCTTGTCCGTGAAGGCGTCAAGCAGCGCGGTGCGGCGCATGTCCCGCGGCTCCGGCGCGACGGTAACAGCACCGGCGATGCGTTGCTGCACCGCAGTGGTGCGCTCAAGAGGGATGAACTCCTCCTTCATATTAAACGGAAGCTGCAGCTTTTGATTGCGAGAGAGGAGAACCTTTGCGGCGTCCTTGCCAGCATCTGCACCCTCATGCTCCTCGTCGGCCCGCTGGCGGCGTTTGATCTCGTGGTACTCCGAATCTGTTTTCGTGGCAAGTGGAACGTTGTGCTCCCAACGCAACTCACGCATACTGCGCATGCCTACCCAGTTTGCGTCCACAAGGTTGCGCTGCGTGGAGCAATACTTGGGCGGATGCACCGTCTTCCATGCCCGACAGAAGACGATGTCCGAGGGGAGTAGCTTGTCCTCAAAGGTGGCGCGTACCAATCCGTCTTTTCCCTTAAAAGCCGCCTTTACAATACCGCGAATGCCCGATACCGACTTGAGTTTTGCACCAACAAACTTGGTTGCCTCAATGTCGCTGTTAAACATGCCCTTCACAAACACCGTGGTTTTCATAATTTTATTTGGTGTTCCTGTGAGTTTAAGCTTCTTCACAATATTTGTGGCATGATCGTTTCCAAGCGTGTACCCCGTGCAGGAAATGCGAAAGTTTGGAGATCTTTGCTCCTTGACAGGGATGGCAATGAAGCCCGTGTTCGTCGGCGCCACTGGCGCGTAAAAGGCAGCCACGCAGTGCATGTGCTGCGGCGTGTATTTCAAATAACGCACACGGCCATTTGGGTCCTCCGTGGCGAATATCGGCTGTGTCTGAAAGCGACGCCATCCCATGGACAACAATAGCGGGTCTTGGGCCTTGAGGATCTTTGGGTACCAGCGGTGCCGCTTCAGCCTCGCGTGGACAATCTGAAACTGGTCCTCCCCCGCATTAACGCCACCGGCGATCAACGGTGTGGTCGGGTCGAATAGCCGCACAAACTCCACCGGGACGTTCTCAAGCACGAAGCGAACGTACAAACCACTGAAGTATCCGACGAGTTGTATTTTTTTCGCTACATCCTCACCCATCTCCTGTAGAGCCGCATCGAGTCGTTGCTTCTTTTCCTCAACCGCACGGGTGAGTTGGTGGTAGTGCGAGTACGTGTTGCTCCTATCGCCCATGTCGTACGAAGCATCAAAGTCTTTTTTCTTCGCCATTTTCTTCTGCAGAAGTCGTTCCTGCTCCTCCGTCAGCGTCTTTCCCTCCAATACGTCCTCCTCCTCTGCGGCATCGTCGTTATTATTATTGTTACCATTATTATGATTATGAGTCTTAGGGTTCCTCTGACTATCCCCATCAGCGCGACTTTGGTGCGGGTCGTAGAACTGGATGGCACCGTCGTCGTCGTTGTTGCGCAGAGAGGGAGGCACCCCAGAAGCCGCAGTTGTGGTGGTTGGCGTCGTCGCTGCCTGCCGCGGCGCCAAGAACGTCGACACAAGTTCGTCCAGTTCCGTATCGGCGAAGGCCGATTTGCTCACCGCCACGTCATCCTCGGCGAGAATGTCATAGTCACTGCCTTCACTGTCAGCGCCGCGCGGGTCCTTCTTTCTGCTCGCCGTCCAGCCGCCGCGATGCGGCGTCGTGTCGTCAGATGGCCGGAATGCCCCCCACGCGGGTGACGAGGACGCGCCATGGCCGACGGCCGCCAATGCGTCCACTCGCCGTCGTCCACGTCTTTCGCGCCCCTCCTCTTCCTCCCACTCCGCGTCGGCGCTGGAGTGGCCCTCACGGTCCTCCTCCGGCTGCACGGCGGAGGAGGGGAGCGGCTTCTCGCCGCGGACGATGGCGTCGAACTCTTCGTCCTCGCTCTCGTACCCCCTGCTCGCCTCGCTCCCGGGGCGCTCCTCCTCGCCTTCCCCGCCGTCCTCCGCCGCACGCGCCGCGTAGCCCCAGTCCCCCGTGACGAAGAGATTCTTCAAGCGACGGAGCAGCGCGGCGTCCGACCAGTCATGACGCACAACATTCTCCCGGACGGCGTCAGGCGCATTACGACCACGCGGCGCAAGACTTTCACCCGCCTCGGCGGCGTCGCTTGCCCTCGCCTCCTCCTCGTCGTGAGCTTCTGGGCCGTAGAGAGACAAGTCATTTCGAGGCATACGGCCTTCGGCGGCGCCGTTGCCGCCAGTACTACTACTACCGCTGCTGCTGCTGCTGCCGCCATCGTCGTCGTCGTCGGAAGGTGCCTCCACCGCGTCCATCGCAAGCTCCATCGTGTCCTCGTCGCGAAATACCACAGGACGACGAACGACGTCCAAAGCAGCGGCAGCGGCGTCCATCGGCTTCGCGCGCTGCAATTCTCTTAGGTACTGCAACCCCTCGCCAGAGCGTTCAATCATCCCCTTCTCTGCATCCTCCTGAATGTAGATGGCGTCGTCGTCGTACATCACCCCGCTGACGTTGCAGTAGGGGGCGTAGATGCGTTTTTGTTTCATGCCAAGATGACGCATCTTGTGCCCCTGCGACGTACCATGGCTGAGGTCATCCATGGCGCAGGGGTCCTCTTGTTTAGAGATGTGTGCAATAGGGAAATCCCCCAAGCCAGGAATGTGTACAACTTGTTGCGACTTCAACGGTTTCCCACGTGCGTAACCGTAGAAGGCAATGGTACGGTTGCAGTTTGCATCCTCCACGATGTCCTGTGGGGCTGTAATGTCCTCATAGCGGTCAATCAGGACACAACTGTGTGTGTTGCGCCAGTTCTGTATCTTGGGCTCCACGCAAATAAGAAGCCGGTGCAGCTTTAGAACGTCTGTGGAGCGATACATGCCACGCACCATGGGAGCCAAACACATTAACTTTGCACCAGCTGCCACTTCATGCCAAAAACGATGTCGAAGAAACTTCTTGCGCTTCTTAAGTGCCTTACCAGTCTTGAGTTGATCAAGGTGGGAGACGACTCCAAACATGCGGGGAAACCCATGCACCTGGGAAATGTTGAGAAACTCAAACGTCTCCATCTCGAACCCAAAGCTGCCGTCAACCATGAGCAAGATGAGATCCGCCACCTTGGCAACGTCGCACATCGCCGTCAGTGTGTTTGGACACTCAACGAATGTCACACGACGACTGCGACCCGCCACCACTGTGATGGGCCCCCGCACCGCCTGGACGTTGCGATTGCTGTAGAACTTCACCATGGAGCGAATCAAGGTCGACTTGCCAACACCGGGAGGACCCACCACAGCCACGAGCAGCGGCGGCTCCGAGACGATGTGGCGAAGCGTCTTATCCACCGTAGGCACATGCAACGCAGTCTCGCGCTTCTCAAGACTTCGAAGAAGCTTTTTGTCCTTTGCGACTGCCTGATGTCGGGCCCTGAAACGCCTTTCTGTTGCTGCCACGGTTGGGCTCAAGCTCTATGCCTGCCTTCTTTTTGCGAACTTCCTCCTTCTTGACGGCCTTGCTGCCAACCACCCGGCTCTTGTGGCTCTTGTTCCTTTGCTCGCTGTCCCCCTCCATTGCACGACCCGCGAACACCTAATGGCTTTCCTCCACCGCCTCCCACCCACCTGTTGGTTGGCTGCGCGTGCAACGTGCCCCCCACCACTACTGCTGCAGCGACCACGACGGCTTGTGGTCCTACGGCTCTTCGCAAAACACACAAGGAAAGAAATAGAGAAACCAAAATGGGGGAAAACAAAGCACACACGCGAGAATGCAAAAAAAAAAAGCATCTCCCGCAATGCACTCCTAGCCCTTCGTTATTTCATCGTCGCCGAAGAGGGAGAGGCACACCGGCTAGTCCCAGCGCCCGCTGGCTGGGAAGTTGTGACCCCGCTACTACACCCGCGTGGCACACAAGTGCACAAATTCGTCATCAAAAAGGGAAGGTGGGGTGCGATGCCACATGTGCCAATGTATATTCCGCAGTACGCCACGGGAAAACGGGTTCTTTTTGCCCGTGTAGACATCTTGCAGGCGTTCTCGTGTTGTCTGCTCGATTGTAAGGGAATACAGCATAGTGGCGCAAATGAATGTCACCGAAGCCGACAAAAACAGCAAAACAGAAGACAATGCGAGACAAATTCCAACCGACCACGGAGTGAGGGAGGACGCGGCGTCGTACAGTGCCAACAGCAGACATACTCCAGGGAACAACGCCACAAGGGCGATAGCAAAAAGGAATAAAATAAAACTGCGCACGTTTCGACGCCCCACACAAACCCCAATCACAGAGCAGTGGTGGTCGTGCTCTTGCACGCACAGGCCGCAGAAGTAGCAATGTGCCGCCCTCATCGGGCGATAAATTTCACACGTCGAGCACCATTTTCGTTCCACTGGCTGCCCCTCCACAGTTTCCCACCGACTCTCACGGCTTTTTGCCTCAATGTCTTTGAGGGTTAACTCGTCCGTGCCGTTGTCATTGCCTTCCAGGTACGCGGGGCGCACGAAACCGGGGTCCATGTACACGCAACGCAGCATCGCAATCAAGCTTACCAGAATAAAAAAACCCTCATAGTAAACCATGCGCCACATCCATTCGTCGTGAAGTAGTTGGGCGCAAAGTACAACCACAGTGTAGAGAGCCACGATGAGAGCGAGTACGACGGCATACGAGACGGAGGTTTGTGGAACAGGTATATTCACAGGTCGGCAGCACGGTAGCTGCTTACGAAAAATTCGCACGTTGCCTATTTTCGCAACCGGGTTGGTTCCAAAGATAATGTACTCTATCGCGTGTACCAATGGGTAGAGAAAGGAAAACCTCTCAGAAAGAGCTTGTATGCGGCGTGCTGAGAAGGCCTGCATTGTTTCCCCGCTCATTTTAGTAGGCATTTCTTTCTGTTGCTGCTCCACAACACCGGCGACCACCATGTAGAGCTGCGTTGTGGCGGAGCACCCACCCGACTCCTCCACCTCGGGGGAGAAGCAGACGTCGCCTTCACCTTGGTCCGCGAGTACACAGGGGTCGTTCGGAGGCAGCGGCACCGACGGGTCACGCAGGTCAATCAGAGAGCGGCAAACATGGCACTGAATGCCGTACACGGCCGTGCTAATGCAATCGAAGTTGACGGTGTTGCTGCATATGGGACAGAGCACGCTATACGTGCGGCCCACCACAGGAACCGTTCCGACAGGCATTTGCGCTACCCACCCCACCTCTCCTCCTCTCAATTCCTCTTGAAGGCCCCAGCAGCGCCTTGCGGAGCAGAAACAAAAAATGGATACTCCAAGTGCGAGTGACAAGAAAGGGGAGGGAAAAGGGGAGGGAAAACCAAAAAAAAACGGGAACATTTGCGCCGTCAGAAATAAGTAATATTAACAACACCAACAACCAAAAGAAGTATACGAATGTAGAAAAAGAGCGTGTGCAAAAAAAAAAAGAACGTTTCGACAGTTACATCCGCAGCACCCTCTTTTTTTCCCCTCTGATCAACACCTGCAGAAAAGGCAACAATATTTATCGCACGGAACACATGCATACACATTATTATGCGTGCTCATCAGTCACAGATAAAGCATAATCCTTTTCTCGCCTTCCCACAAGCACATAACTCGGCGCGCGATGTAGTTTCCTTCCTGCCTCCAGTTGCGTGACGCTTGGCGCCCATCATGCTTACAGCAGCCGGCACGAACTGTGCAGAACAGGACGGGCAAACCACGCCCGACACAATATGAACATAAAACACGCCCACACCACATCTGGGGCACGCTACGGCTGCGGATGCCCCAGAGGAATCGGGTTTCCCAGGGACAGGCTGCTGCCGCTGGAATGACTCTTTGCTCTTCGGGTGGTGAACAGACGCCTTGTCTTCCTCTTCGTCCGAGATGTTGAACTCTGCAAAAAGCTGCATTAGCGTTCGACGGCTTTTTCCCCGTTTTTTCCTCAGCGCGGCCTTTCGCTCCGCGTTCAGCTCACAGTTTGCAGGCCCGCAACCATCACCTTGCCGAGGTGCTTGACGACCCCCGCTCTCCTCCTCGCGGTCGTCATCGCCGCTAGAAAAATCAAGAGCAGGGAGGGGCGCCGTCCGCTTCGCAGGTGGCTTCGCCCTGCGAGAAGTCGCTGAGGCTTCAGTAGGCGTGGGGTTATCATGTGCCACGCATTCAGCGAAAATATCGGGCGGCAGCGGAATTTCGAACAAAGTGTTGTCCGCAACGACACGAGGGCGCTGCCGTTGCTCTTTCTTGCGGTCGCCAGGGAGTGAAGACTGGGCAAAAGCAGTAAATAGCGGAGGGGGCGGCGGAGGAGGCGGAGGAGGCGGGGCGGTGGGCCCATTGAAGGGCGGCGAAGAAGAAGTTGGCGGTGACTTTCGTCCTGCTGGCGCCTTGGACCGGAGCGCCTCCAGCGTGCCCTCGAAGTTTTGCTGAAGAACCTGAAAGGCCTCATGTGCACCGGGCAGCGTGTTCTTGTCGGGGTGAAGGCGCAACGCCAGCGCCTTGTACACCCGTTTAAGCGCGGGCTCGGCCATCACGCCGTCAGCGCCAAAAAGTCGCACCGCATCACCGTCGGTGCGCAACACATAAGACACGAGCGCCTCGCCGGACAACTCGCCTGCTATCACCATGTAGACCGCTGCAACACAGTGCCGGCGCAAATGTGGCTGCGCGTCTGTGCCCTCCCTCCCCCACCCCCCACCCACCGCCCACCGCCCCAGCAGCGTTGCCGCAACAGCAACAACAAAATCGCAACGACTATTGCTGCAGACCTCTCAGTCCAACACCCCTTTTGAATAATATTCCCGGGGTGCAGCGCTCCTCGTAGCAACAAAAAAAATCAAGTGTGGGAGAGAAGGAACCAAGCAATGCGATGTTGCACAAAAATAAATGGACGAAACAAGACAATGATCAACGATGAGTTTCACACACTTCCTTCAAAGAACTTAAGAAGCAGAATTATAACTTACAACAAACAACACCCACCCCTTT